AATGTCTTCATGTGATAACACTTCCCGATGGCCACAGAGTTGTCCGCAAAGACACTCATACTTACCATACAGTGAATGCCAATACAGACACCGACACTAATAATGAGGTCATACTGTACTCCACATAACATTGGTATCGATCGCATCGATTGTATCGCATCTATGGCTCAATTCAATGCAAAACAACACAAACACTCAAAATAGATATAACGTTACGAATAACGCGTGAGTTATGAGTGGCGCTCACAATACCAACCAATAGTCGGGGGGCAAACACCTGACCCCTAAAAGCCAGCGTAACGTTATATACGAATAGCTGTGTGTCTCGCGAGGAAACACAATAACAACAATCAAATAAACCATTGATTTAGCGATTGATCCGTCGGTGGAAGCGCTCAAAGAAGTCATGTCGATGTCCGGGAGCTCTGATGACTGCTATTTCTACTACTACTCCACGTGTACTAAAGTAAGCACTCATTTCATGTATGACACCATTGAATAGGAGCACAAGAACTGATCAAATCTTTTTGCCAACTCTTGTATCACCTCTTGGATCAACTCTTGGGTCAACTCTTGGATCACTTGCTGGTATAGGGAGACGAGTGTCCGTACCGTCACTGCGAGCAGGCGTTGGGATCGGAGATCACGTGCACTCACTGGCAGAACGGCAACTGTCGTCGACCCGCTGTCTGTAAGTTCCGACACATGGAGTCCCGTATCGATCGGTCGGCCATCAGGTGTTGGTTTGAGACACAGCCCACGGGTTGTCGTAAACCCCATTGCGTTTTCCTTCACCAAAAGCCGCGGACCGTAACCCTAGACGAGGACAGCGGTTCCGCTGAGGCCACCGCCAATGGTATCATACGTCCGGTGGTCGCCAACGACGAGACCAACGATCAGACCGTTAGTAATCACGCAAACAATGGCACCAATAGTCCGAACGTAAGGCAAAGTGCGACCAAAAAAGGCGAAGACTTCTCCAAAATGAAACTCTTTGACGATTCAGACTATTTGAGTGCTTCGGTGTCGACGGCGGCCAACGACTCGGTGGCCAATCATAGCATTACTATCGAACCGATCTCTATATCATTGAACGATTGCGACGACGAGTCCGACATCGAGTGCTCCGAACCCAACACCAGAAGTGGTACCGATTGGGACCCAACCCTCACGAATAGGAATCATTCAAATTATGGACAGTTTGGCGTCAAGACGTTAGAGCAGATCCGGATGGAGAAGGTGTTCAACAGTGATTCAGATGACACACTCGGCAACGATAATAATAATCAATGTTTTGGCAAAAATGAGTGCCAAATATCACCACAAAAATCGTTGAACACAATCGGCAGAGACCTGAGGGTACGGATTAAGCGGCAAATGCCAGACACCGATAGCACAAAGACATCGACACCTGAGTTGAGTACACAAACCACAAACGCTTCATACAGATCATCAGATTTTGCGGTCAAAACGTTGGATCAGATCAGACAAGAGCGGCAAGAGATGGCAAAGAGAGAGCAAACAACTACTGAGCAAATGAATGGTCTGAAGGAGAATCAGGAGCCCAGAGGTGAGAAACGGTCGGCCAATGAGCGCAACAAATCTGTGATTAAGATCAGACGTATCGGTCCGTCAGTGGACACGACATCACTGAAGACATCTCAGCAACAAATGAATAGCGAGTCGAGAGAATCGCATCAAAATGTAATGACAAATAGCGAACAGTCTTTCAGTACAAGCGATACGATCG